GGGGGGGGGGACGGAGTGAAAGGAAGGGTCACTCCCGTGTCTGTCCGCCGACCGGTTGCTTGCTTGGTATAACGACGCTGTAAAGGCAAGATGCGGTACTGTAGACAGCATTACTTTCGCGAGCATTTTAATTTGCGAAAATAAAGTGTAAGCACTGTGGAAGCAGCAATGTCGACTCGTTTTCATGTTAGATAGACCGAGCTATTTTTAGGTTCTCTACTAACTTTAGAGAACGTAGACAACTTGTATATATGTTCTCTTACGTTAGAGAACGTAGACACTACCTATATATATATACATATATATCACTGGACACAGTAAACTGAACCTGCTATAGCAATCACCTGTCCAAGACAACCACCTGTACAAGACAACCACCTGTCCAAGACAATCACCTGTCCAAGACAATCACCTGTATAAGACAACCACCTGTACAAGACAATCACCTGTCCAAGACAACCACCTGTACAAGACAACCACCTGTATGAGACAATCACCTGTACAAGACAATCACCTGTACAAGACAATCACCTGTACATCACAACCACCTCCCCCCGCGTCCACCTGTCTACAAGGACCACTTTCCCCCCTGTACAGTGGGTGGTCGTGTTGAACAATGTGGTGGACTGTGAGACGTTCTGAATGAAGACGGTGAACTATTTGTGTGTGGACGTGACGTAAAGAGGGAAAGACGCGGGGCAGGAGAGCCAGAGGAAGACCAAGGATAACATGGATGGACAATCTGGTCGCTTTGAAGCACAAGGGAAAATGCTGTTTTGAGAAAATCGAAAGTTAAGTTTTCGCCCCTTGTTCAGTTTCTTTAAACGACAGATAGATAGATAGATACATACATAGATAGATAGATAGATAGATAGATAGACAGACAGGTAGATAGATAGATAGATAGATAGATAGATAGATAGATAGATAGATAGGTAGATAGATAGATAGATAGATAGATAGATAGGTAGGTAGGTAGGTAGATAGATAGATAGATAGATAGATAGATAGGTAGGTAGGTAGGTAGATAGATAGATAGATAGATAGATAGATAGGTAGGTAGGTAG